GGGTCCAGAGGAGAGCAACGAGGCTGGGGAAGGGGCTGGAGGGAAAGTCCTGTGAGGAGAGGCTGAGGGAGCTGGGGCTGTTTAGCCTGGAGAAGAGGAGACTCGGGGGACCTTATCACTCTCTACAACTGCCTGAAGGGAGGGTGCAGTCAGGTGGGGGTCGGGCTCTTCTCCCAGGCAACCAGTGACAGGACAAGAGGACATGGCCTGGGAAGGTTTAGGTTGGATCTCAGGAAGCAGTCCCTCACAGAGAGGGTGCTCAGGCACTGGGATGCACTGCCCAGGGAAGTGGTGGAGTCACCGTCCCTGGAGGTGTTTAAGGAGAGGCTGGATGTGGCACTTAGTGCCGTGGTCTGGCTGATGTGGTGGTGTTGGGTCATAGGCTGGACTTGATGATCTCAGAGGTCTTTTCCAGCCTCAACAATTCTGTGATTCTGTGAGTGCAGTGCACTTAAGTGCTTTGCCCACATATATTAAATCCCAGGACTAGGATTGAAGACTAAAAAGGACTTCTGTGTATGAAATGTTATATGCACAGTGCATGTGAAGAGCATTAAAGCACAATACAGTTATGACTGAGCTAATGGAAAAAAAGGTTGCAGTGACTATGGCATGTACTGCTTTAACTTTGGTTTGTGCTTTTAAAAATTAGTTGAACTTTTTTTTATTTCTTGCCCCATCAGCTCCTTAATGCTAATTTGAACAATTATCACATTTTATGGGGACCACTTCTGTGGCCGATTACACATGATGATAAACCTTGGTCATATGATGATTTTATAATTTTTTTTAATATATAGCCTCAGAACATATTCCTATCACGTGACGATAAAATAAAAATAGGTGACTTTGGTCTTGTGACTTCTGTGGATTATGAGACTCAGACTCAGAACAGAGGAACAAAATCATATATGGCACCAGAACAGGTAATTATCCTGCTATATTAATGTCTCTGTAACTAGATTTGCATTATAAACTCAACACTGGATGTTCTCAATCCTGATCTCAGCAGTAAATCAACTTGCATAAAGTTCCCTGGTATGACAGTGTGCAAGGATAACTGTATCCTCCTGAAAGCTGCTTAGAAGTGTGGTGATTTCATTTTGCTGTGCTAACCTACAGGGTCTGACACTGTGTGCTGTAAGGAATGCTCTTGCAAAACCAGGCTGGCAGATGTGTATTTCAGTTTGAATTTAGGACCTCTGTTAACTGTGGCATCTGAGTTGTCCACTTTGTTTCATTATTTGTGACAGATAATGGCATGCTTTTTGTCTAATTTTTTTCTTAATTTTTGTCTAATTTGTCTTAATTTCAGAGTTTAATAGGACATAATAATCACTATTAAAGAGGTCTGTAGCAGAACGGTTTAACAAATAATAGCAAGATCAAGTAGGGCTAGTTCTGTAGGCTTGGGGTGGAAATTTCTATGTACTTAAATTTTGCTTTAAGAAGTGCTGTCCAGTTGGATTTGACACTGATATTGTTCTAATATTTGTAGGCTGGGGACAGTTACGGAAATAAAGTAGATATTTATGCACTGGGATTAGTTTGGTTTGAAATTCTTTCGGCAGTCAGCTGTCATGAGAAAATGAAGGTATGTAATCCTTTAAGAAAAGTCTGTCATTGTTTTGCCTTGCTGCTGGTATGGCATGCCGACTGCATGCTAAAAAGGATCTATATATCTAGAGTACTGTGTCTATTTACATTTTCCCCTTGATTCATTTCTCTAAGGCCCGTAAGTACTCACACCTTGGTTGAAATGTAATGACTGAAGTAAAATATTACTGGGTTGTTTCACTTTATCCTACTGATATATACACAAAAACCTGAGCATGCTAAACAATACTGTCTAGCAAAAAAAAGATTTCAAGCTTTTGAAAAAAGCAGTGGTTTATTTGAAGGGAATATTTTTGTAATTTTATAAAATAAATATTATGAATGGGAGAGTTTTGTCTTTGCTATGCTCTCATCTTTGCTGCACAGTGGAGCAAGAACAAAGTTTCTATCAAGCCCAAACACTTGCAGTTTTCCAAAATGAAAACAAAAGCAATTTGGAATATGTAGCTTTAATTGAAAAATATGTCACTTCAAGAAGAAAATGAGTGTTATTGAAGGTTTCTTTGAAACGTTATCTGTGTCTTGCTTTTTCTTGGTAGTTTGCATATTATTAGTGTAACAGCTTGTCTGCTCAAACCTACTTATTTGTAGGACTGCAATGTAGCTGCTGAGTATCTTGCCTAAAGTAATTCCATGATACATGTACGTGGTTGGATGCAGTTCTTGAACACTGTTAGCTAGGTCCTTTTGCCAATATGCAAAAACCATACCAATGTGCCTGCTTGACTTGCAGGTTCAACTTGGCTCAATTTAGCTACTTTATATTTTTTTTTTTAAGATATCTTGTTCCTGGTCACAACTGACTGCAAATGTTTCCACAGTCTCATGGTGTTTACAGTCAAAAAGGGAAGACCAATTATCTAGTCTTTTTTCCTTAAGGCATAAAAATTTTGTGTCTGTAGGCAGATGGGGAAGTCAAGCAGATGGGAAGTCCTAGGATAGTCTTGGGCTGCTCCATCAGTGTAGAAAATAACTTCATTTAACAGAGTATGATAAACTCTGTTGTATGGTGCTGGCAAGACTTGTTGAGAGGACATCATGCAAAAGCAAAGTTGATTATTAGCTGAGTAACAGGTTCACCTGGTAATCACCAGCAGGCAGGGTCACAGGCCTAAAGTTACTGCTGAAGAGTAGGGAAAAAACTTGGAAGTTTATGGGAGCTGTTGTCTTGCTGGATACTGGTTATAAGGTCTTGCTAAGCCAGGCTATATCATCTCTAAGACTAGCTAATGATTCAGGATGCCTACCCAAGAGTAAAAGACATATGACTGTCATCTTCTTCAGACATACCTTACACTAGCTAAGAGCAAACTGAATGATGTGGACTGCTCTGTTTACCCAGAAAGCTACATCATGTGGAGAAATATGTGTTACCTAGCAACAGTTTCTGAAAGTATCTAATTAGTAATCCTCTGTATGTCAGTTGCTTTGAACTCCATGTAGCATTTTATGCAGTGACACAGAAATAAGCATGTGGTACTGAACAAGGTAAAAAGGAGGAAGCACACTTGCTTACATTGCAGATACTAACATCCAGAGTAGGAAACTTAGTCCTCTTGGTTTTTTGTTTTGTTTGTTTGTTTGGTTTTTTAATGTGGTAAAAAGATATAAAAAATAATGAAAGAAAGATAATGGTTCTGAAATAGAGAGGATTGCTGGAACAAATACTTCATTGTAGAGTTTGAAGCTTTTAAGGACAACAGTTGATGAAAAGACTAGATAAAACAAAACAAAGATCAACTAAATGGAAAAAAAACTTTCAAACTGTTTAAACTTTCTTTTGGAAGCCTTACCTTTTTCTAGATTTGAATTTCCACGATTACTTAAGTAAATTATGTGGGTCATAAAGTGAGATGCAGAACATAATCAATGAAAATATAATGAAACTGTTATCTTTTATGAATTTCAGCTATGGCCTGATGTTAGAGAAGGTAAACTTCCAGAGAGTTTCAGCAGCCAATTTCCAGGAGAGGTATGGGATTTTAATACATTACTTCAGTTAGCTTATTTAATCATAAAAAAATAATTTATTGACACATAACTTCTTTTTGCAGGCACCCATAATCAAAAAGATGCTTTCAAGAGATGCTTCAGGAAGATACTCTGCATCTGAAATCCTTCAGTTTTTTAAGTCTGTTCGTAAAGACTACTCACATGAAACTCATACTCGGTAAATATCCTTGGAAAAGGCTTTTGGACTGTGTTTCAACCCAGAGTTTGATGTCTGTTCAAACTGACGAAGTAACAGGAAATGTCAGAAGCAACAGCAAGACTCACGATATGTCTTTTCCTTGGTGTTTTGCCTTCCTGCCATTGAGGACCTAATCAGCCAAAAGGATCACATCACCATTGATCCCCATGAGCTGCAGACCAGGACAGTGTACTTCTGCAAGCAATCACTTGTGGTTTTTACCTGGAAACAGAGGTCGTGGATGAACTGAACTATATACCACAATCAGGAACCTAGTCCTCCTCTCCTAGCAGATTAAGTTGATGTGGTGCTCATTGGCCTGTGCCATATCCCTGTGGACGTGCTCGTAACACGTGCTGCATCCGTTACCAATTAGGGTTACCTACTGCTTTCCATGGAAAAAGTGCTGTCTAGTGGCGTGTGACTCAAATGCTTCTGATTTGTGCAGTGATGTTTTCAGTAATTACTAGAATACTCCCATTGAGACCAAGACTAATTTTGGTAGAAAAGATACAAGGAATCCGTGTGAGTACTCTTTAATGAATTTTAGTCAAAGGTAAACTTTCTTATCTCTTCCCACCTGTTGAACACCTAGCGCCTTCAGTGCTCTTGAATTTAAAACTACATGCTTTTAAGCTAAGTGTTGCTGGAGAACTGACATGTTAAGCATTCAGCTTCTGGAAGATCTAGTTTAGATTTGTTCTAAAGCTTTGAAAACCTTAGGTTTTGAATGGTGGGGTTGGTTGATTTTTTTTTTTTTTTCTGAAAGGAACATTTAAGCTGCTTTCAACATAGCAAAGTTCTCCAAGAGCAACCATTTAAAACCGTGTGCTGAGAGAGCACCTTAAGCACTCTCTCCCATACATCTGGGTTTTATTCCCTTATTGTAACACTGAGGCATGTCTAATCCTTAACAAGTGTACTGAATACCTCTGATGGCCTTAGTGTGAGCCCCACAAAGTAATGGCAGTTTACCTGTTACTTTTCAGTTACATACTTCAAAGAGTTCAGTTGTCACCTTTACATACAACAGACTGTTGGTTCAAATAATGTCACTGTAATGTTTTGCAAGTTTTTTTTCTCCCCATCAGGTCTAAGACAGTGAGGGAAGAAAAGTGATGTTTAGTCACCCCCATAGATGGGAAAAAATACTTAGGACATTATATAACAGAGTAGCCAGCCAATATTTACTCCCTTATTCAAACTTGAATTTTATTGTCAGCTGTGATGGGCTTGTGTCTGGCAGGAGGGCTGTGGGAGGTGGCTTCTCATGTGACTTCCAGTCTCCCTCAGCCCCAGGTAAAAGAAGTCAGACTCACCTCTGGCCAAAGTCAGGGTAATCATTGCTTCTGCAATCAATGTATTTAAGAGGGGCAATCTGCTGGACAAGTCTTTGCTGCATTTTTTGTGCTGGGCAGTTGTTTTGTTTTGGAGAGGAGGGTGAGGTGAGTGGAGAATAAAACATGCAGTTGGTGAGAAAGGCTGCGGACAAGGGCACTGGAGCAGACCGTTCCCTGGAGGCCTGTGAGTGAGATGGCGGGGTGAGGTTCTGCTGACCAAGGAGATCGATGGTGGTACAAGACTGGGGATGCAGCAGCACATGGAAGGCCCCGTGCCAGGGGAGAGAGAACACACAGGAGCAAAGGATGTGCCTGAAGCAAACTGAGACTCCAAGGAGGACTTGTGCTGGAGCACGCGGACACTGCAGCCTGTGGGTGAATCCCATGCTGGTGGGAAGGACTCCTGTGGAGGATTGTCTCCTGTGAAGTGGACACCACGTGGTATCAGGGAAAGACTGCAAGGAGTCCTCTTCCCGAGGAGGAAGGATTGCGATGGACAATGAGTAATGGCCAGGCTGCAGCCTCCTTCCACTGCACTGCTGGGAGGGAGGAGGTAGTTGGGAAGAATGGAGAGAAGTGTATTCAAGATCTGTTTATATTTCTTTCTCTCCCTATCCTACTCTGACTTAGCTGATTTAGTTGAACTGGTAGTGATAAATTTATGTTTTCTCCCCAAGCGTACTCTGGTTTCTGCCTGCGGCCATAAGTGCTGAGTGAACTCTCCCTGTCGTAATCTCAATCCTTGAGTCTTTCTGTTGAATTTTCTCCCTCCCCATCCCTAAAGGGGCAAGGGCTGGGTGTGAGTGAGTGGCTTCATTGCTCTTGTTCTGGCCGGGTGACCTTAAACTACAATATCAGCTGATTTTGTTCAGTTGGGCAGAGCATAACCAAAGACTGGAAGGCTTAACCTGCCTCTCAGCGATGGTAGGTCACAATTATAAATGCAAAGTTTTTACCTCCTATTAAATTGTGCATCAAGTAGAAAACCCATAAGATGCTTCAGAAATGTGAGTTTAACCTTTCAACTGTAATTATTCTTTGGCATAGTTCGGTATGAACTCTTCAGTATGGCACAGCTCTGAATCATCTAGAGGATATTGTGAACTATACGTACTTATTTAGGACTCCTTCCTTTAGAAAGGCTTTAGTCATGATCTGCAGCACTGTCTCCGGGGCAGTTTGAAGATAAATCTTCAGAGTCTACAGGGTAAGCAAAGAAAAAATGAGTAACTGCAGCTCAGAGGAGGGAAAAAAGTTGCTACAATTATTTGAAGAAGCCATATTAAGCAGATTAAACAGAATTCAAGATAGTTTGCAAGTTATTAATTCCAAACTTTGTTTTAAAATAGTAAACATAAATTCCACCCTTGTTGGTGCAGGGGATAGTGTTTTTTTTAAACACTGGATAGTGTTCTGTTTCATAAACACCTGCAAGCTTTTGCAGCTTTTTATGGTATTAGTTTTAATATCTGAATATTGTTTACTCAAAATTCATATGAATGCCAGTTCAAATAAGTGCCCGTATGTTTGTTGGTTTTGTGCATGTAAACACCTAAATACTGACTTATTCTCCAAACATAAAAAGTTTTGTAAAAAAACAAGCTGCCTGGAAGGAAAATTTGCTATCAAGATTTAAAAGACTGCAGTGAGAGAAACATTCAAGGATAATTTGTACTATTTGAGTCTAGCTACATAAGCAAAGTAAAACACAACACGTGTTTACTCTCACCTTCATAGGTTGTTCCACACCAAATGCAATAGAAGTGTTCTTCTCGCAGATAGGCCGTCAGGCTATGTAGCTTCTCCGATACCTAGAGATACATACAGGTGTGCAATGATCTGGGGCTTATGTGACATAAAACAGTTTAAGCTACCAACTTTGCTAAAAACAGATTGCTTAACATTTTGCTATGGAAAAGTTACACAGTACTGTAGCACAGTAAGGCATGAAGCTTCCCAGATTTGTAGCATACTGCACAGGAATTCATGACCTTTGGAAAGTTAATTAGTGGCTGTTGTTTGCTCATCCTTCTTTCTAGCTAAAAAACCTGCACTGAAGTGAGCTAAAAATATTACCTAGCTATCCAATTTCAAGTATATGATATTTTTGGTAAAATTTTTCACATCTAATTTCTGCAAATCAAACACATAAGGCTAACGTGTAAGCTAGTTCTCAAAAATGTGAATTTCCAGTGTTCATCTTCAGATAATCTGTGAAGCATTTCAGAAATTACGTAGTGATTCTAAAATTCAACCTAAGACATGAGATGAGGCATCCAAAATTAAAACTCAGAAGCAAGTAACTTTGATCAGATATGTGATCTTGCATATCTTGGCTAAGACAAAAATGCTTAGAATTTAATTTCTAGGCTATTTTTTTCAAAGATCAGCTTCAAAACAGATGAGCAACAAATCAGTAGTTCAATGTTTTATATTTTATCATGTAACTGCTGTAAAAATTACTGCTCTAAGACTGTGCAGAGGCTGTTTACTACAGCTTGGAAAATTACATGTATACATATATCCTTTATGTATGTGTGTATGCATGCTTTTAAAAGGAATATTAAACTTAATTCTGAATCAAGCCATTAATTTAATTGCTGATCTTACACTTAAGTCTGAGCTTGTGCTTTCATCTTCCTTGTCTTCCTCATCCTTTTTGTCTTCCTCTTCAGAGCTAAGCCAATACCAAGTCTCCTTGGGAACATCAATATCCTTAAAAAAATCAAGGATTTAAATGAAAATTATCTGTCTTTTTAGGCTTTTTTGTAAGATGCTAGATAAAAACAATTTCTAATAGGTGAGATGTTATGTTTATAAACTTTCCTGTATAGTATAACCAAGAATTACTGTAGTGGGAAACTAAGTACAGTGGTCCACAAGAAGCATTATTCATTGTTTTAAAAAACAAGTAAATGCATGCTAACATTAAGTTCTATTCCATCTATGTTCAGTATGTGTAAGGCTACACAGCAACACCCTCTCACACCAAGGCTGTAAATAGATACCTTTATTCTGATCAGCCGAAGACACTCTACCCCAAGTTATTTTACCAAGAGATCACACAGTGCCTCCTAATCCACCTGAGGTTAAAGGAAGAAGAGCCATCAAATATGCTCTCAGCTAATTTAGCTGTCTTCGTCTGAAGCAGACTAAGGAATATCAAACAATCTCTGCAGAACTTGTGAGGCAGTATTAACCTTTAACAGGTTAATAAAGAGTTTTTTTCAAGTGGTAGCAATTTATTACTAGTTCACTGCTATTACACATAACCCTGTGGAGGTGGAAGGTACTTTGTTTTGGCTGTCTCGTTTAAATGCTGCTTTGATAAATCTGCTGTTTCCCTCAGTGATGATCCCCATCCTTGGAGATACTGGAGAGCTGTCTGGACATGGTCCTGGACCACCGGCTTTAGGTGACCCTGCCCAAACAGGAGGACTGGAAAAGCTGACCTCCAGAGCCCCTTCCAACATCAACCGTTCTGTGATGATGTTGCTCCCTTGCTTTAGGCAGGCAGCACCCTCATTAAGGACAGCCTGACCTTAGCTACACAAACAGCTTAAAAAGTAACCATGAGAATGCAGGAGTGAAAACAGGTGAGCTCTGACCACACAAATTAACATGGGTCCTCACTTATGTTACCGTGAGGTTGCTGTACACCTTCAAATATCTTCATAGTGCAAACATACACTCTGACATACTTCAATCGTACTGAAGGGCCGCCAAACATCAAGACTTCAGGCTGGTTATCCCATAGTTTTAGAGACCTTCCAAGAACTGAATCCCTTTTTTGTTTGTAGCCTGTATCTCTAACCTATAAGCCTTCCTTCCAACCTAAAAAAGTATGTCTCACTTTTTGCATATCTAATTGCTGGCAGGCCCTCTGGCTTTTTCGGAGGTCTCCTTCCATCTTACGTTCTTCTTGTTTGTTTTTGAATCTTACTCTGTTAAGAAAAAGTAGACAGCTACAATAAGCAGGTAGACAGCGAGATGCATTACAGTCAATAGTTTTTCTGAAATAGAAAATCTAAGATTCTGGCCTTACTAATTCTCTCAGACCAGGACACCATTAGGTTAAGAAGTCTTTCTGACTGTTTCTGTGGGAGCACACATGTATTTCTGGTGAATTACACCTTGAAGACAGTGCTTTTTTCATCACACTACACTGAACACTGTTTCTTCATGATTTCGTAAGATGTGAAGAAAGCAGTTCTCTAAACATCTGCAAAAAAGACACAACCTTCCCTAGGCTTTCCTTCTCCATCAGAATAAAATAAAACCAATAAAATCTAAACAAATTTACCCTGATTTTTTTAAACCATTGTAACAATATTGCTCAGGATTATCTGTGGATTTTGTATTTAAAAAGATGACACAGTTATCTGATTTTAAAGAAGTTGCAAATCACTTGAGAAAAGTTAGTACATACATTGTTTGCATTATTAACATTTACAAAAATAAACAAGGCAGCACATACTCTTAGCATTACGGTGTTCATTTGCTTTTGCTTTAGAACTGAAGCTCTCATTCAAAACATTCAAAAATGGTAATACATTAAAAAAATAACCGAACTTAAAGCATAAAAAAAGATTGTTGTTTAGACATTGCTCAGACTATCAGTTACGTCATTTTACCTGAAATCATCTGCAGCTTGTTCATTTGCTTGTTTTTTCATATGGAGTTTTCGTCTATAGTTTTCTAGTTTTTCTTCAGCTTTTCGCTTTTTTAATTCCTCATGACCAAGCCCGCTTCTGCCTATGTAAGTTCGAAAGATCAATGTAAGCATCTTGAAAGGCTCTGATGCCCAACTAAGTAAATCAGGAAGTATCACAAACCTGTCTTTATATTCAGAGGAATAGGTTCAACAATGCCTTCTCCTGTGAGGGACAAAATATTAAGAAATCAGGTCTTTCTCAAACTATGATTAGTGTAGTATATTCAAGTAAGCAAGCTGCTTTTGTCATTAAATACGTGCGTTTTCTTGTGATTTTGTTGCTTTGAAGTTGAGAAAATCCCAAATCAATGCTTGTCTGCTGGATTGCTATTCACTTTTTTCAGGATACTACCCAACTGAAAGAAAATGATGTTGACTTGACAGGTATACCTTTGATGATACCTGCTTTGTTCCAGCCTTCTGCAACATTTTTCAGTCGAGAATCTCACAACTTTACAAAGATGAAGAATAAAAAGGATGGGGCTGGGCCAGTTCTTTAGCTGACTGTCAGCTAGAAGCACGCTGAACTGGCACAGCAATTACTGAGGCTTTGCCTTACTGATTTTGCTTCCTAAGGGTAGGCCAGTGTTTGCCATTTCTTCTTGGGAATCCAGCTATTAATTCCAAGAGAGAGGTTGGCTTTTTTTTTTTGGGATGCTACTAGCTTTGCAAGACCATCAAAACATTCCTAATACAATTCCTGTAGGCGTGCACATATGGAATTGCCTTTACTAAGCAGCAAGCACTGCTGCTTCCCTCATGTCTCTTCATAGTCTGTAACATTTTTATTTCAGCTTTTCAACATTTGCTCTCATCTGTTGTTCTGCCACAACGCATTCACAGTTCAGTAACACTAGGGCTCTTAGAAAGGCATTTATTCACCCAGTCTACAAAAGCAGCAGCTACAGTCTGTAAAATATAAAGGTACACCTGAATCACAGAATCATCCAGGTTGGAAAAGACTCTTGGGATCACCGAGTCCGACCATTAACCCTACTCGCAAGTTCACCCCTAGACCATATCACGCAATATATATAGGCACACACCTCCAGACAGCGACAGACTTACCGCTTTTGCCAAGGGCCTGGCCACTCTTGTAGCCCATCTTCTGGAGCAAAGCAAAGCCTTTGTTCTCATTGCCCAAAGCACTTTTCAGCACTAAGTCACGTCTCTCTTTTTCTTCTTCTTTTATACTCTTCTGTCGGTTCTTCTCATTGGCTTCTTTTTGCTTCTCTTCTTTCTGAAGAGCCTCCTTCATCCGCCTCACCATCGGTAAGCCTGGCCTCACATCCTGCCTAAGAGTTAATTCCAGCAAATATTACCACTTTTTTTTTTGTTTTAATGTTTACGATCACTTAAGAAACAAAAAAAGGAGCCACCTACTTAATAAATAAATCTGACATGTAGTCGTTCTCTTCGTCTTCCTCCATGTTTAGCACGCCTGCCCTCTTCCAGCCCCTTTCCTACAGACGCCGTCAATGCGCCCTACCGCGCGTTTTCCGTCTCTGCACGTTCCCTGAAACGCAGA